AGGTGGGTAAAATGAGCAACGATTAAAAATAATTCATACACCCGGAGGTGCGTCGGACACAGGGCTGCAAAAAGCGATGTGCCTAAACGCCACATCTGGAGAATTCGGAATACATCGCATCAAGTGGGCAGCTTCGTTGCATGGACATAGTGTCGCCAAGAAGCTTCGTTCGTACAGAGAGGGGTTACATTGGCTATGTTACCTGCCTGCCGACGCCCAAGCGACGCGTAGCACTTGAATTATCTGCACCATTTTGGCAACACCCGACCAAAGGTTCGATCCTAGATTCTTTTCTTGAGCATCCTTGCACCTGCCTACATTCCGACGCTCCCTGGACCCTGCGACTGTTTACGCTCAACCGTCTCGAGGGATACCTCCTCCCCCTCGGCGGCGACGACTGCGACGACGACCACACACACGCACACATAACCAAACACACAACTATTGTGTGTTGTGCTTCTGAGACGCTTCCATGGCCCCCCCTAACAACGACGACGACGACGAAGATACGACGACGACGACAACGATACGACGACGACGACGACGACGACGACGACGACGACGAAACGACGATACGACGACGATACGACGACGACGACGACGATACGACGACGAAGATACGACGACGACGACGACGACGACGACGACGACGACGACGACGACAACGATACGACGACGACGATCTTGCCCTTGCTTGGGACGTTTCGAGCCCCCCCTCCTAGACGACGAGGATCGTTTCGGATGTGTGCTTCGACCCGTTGGGGCCTCCCGAGGCCCGCAGGGATACGCCTGCGGTCGCTGCGTTCATCCTTCTGCAGGGCCCCTCCCCCTCCTCCTCCCCCTCCTCCTCCCCCTCCTCCTCCTCCTCCTCCTCCTCCTCCTCCTCCTCCTGCCTCATCGCTGGCAGGGCGGCGCTTCCGGCGCCGCCCTTGGCGAGAGCGGTTGGGTCGGGTGTTGCCAGAAGTGCCCCTGGGCCAAGGTGCTCCCAGGAGTCTCGGGGTAGCCCAAACGGCCTCCAAGGCACCCCTCGCGACGCCCAGGGGGGCCCCAGGGGCTCCAAAAATGGAGCGAAAAGCTGGGGGGGGACTTTTGGGCCAGGGGCACTTCTAGCAGCACCCGGTTTTTTTTGGGGGGGACGCGAAATGGGGGGCAGCGGGGGCTGCAGGCAAGGAGAGCCCTTCGGGGCCCCTACAGGGGCCCTCTACAGGGCCCCAAGGGGGCCTTCCGGGCCCGAGCAAGCCACCTTTCTCCCCCCTCGCCCCCCCCATTATCAGGAGGGAAAAAACACACAGACACAACTAATCGTCGATTCCTCAGAAAATATAGGAAAATATGGGAAATGGGGGGGAAGACAAAAACCCAGAAAATATGGGAAAATATGGGGATCCGGTTATTTGTGTGTGTATTTATTTGTGTGTCCTTGGGCCCCTTGACATTAACCACCAATTCACGCCCAGGGTGGGGAGGGGCGCACTGCGCTGAGCCGAGAAGTCCACGCGGGCCTCCGAAAGTTCACACCTGTGCATGTTCTGGTGGCTGCACCACTCCCCCTCGTTCCCCAGACCTCCAGCTCCTTGGAGAGAGTGAGGTGTAAGATGCTCTGCGGCCTCTTGGGGTCTCTTCCTCTTGAGGCTAGAAAGGGGGGGGACCCGAGCTCTTCCTCTAGAGACGGGGACAAAGGAGTTGCGTGTTCTTCTCTCCTCTCTCTCCCTGTCCCGCTCTCGCGCACGCCGTGCTTTGAAAAACGGAAAAAATGTGTTCGTCTTGCAACTCGCCCCCTGCTCGGGGGATCCCCGCTGCCACGCTACCAGCCCATACCAAACGAGCCATCATATGGAGGGTGCACATGAAAGTTGATTCGTGGTGCCACTTGGGATTGCTTGTTAGTGAAGGCGATAGGCCAGATTTACCATCTGGTCCTCGGGTCGTCCTCTTGGCCCCTCCCCAGATGTATGATGTCTTGGTCTCAGATGTATTCAACACGTTGGCCACAGAGCCCGAATTAGCCTTTCTTCCAGAGAGTGGCGTTTTCGTCTCGGAGTGTCCTGCGACAAAAACAGCGTGCTGAGGCCGAAATGATAAAAACACACGACGGCTTGATTTCTTCAGGGTGTTGATTGGCAGGGCACACCGCCCTGCCCCAACCCGCCATCGTCCGCTGCCGTCTTGGCTTCAGCCCTAGGAGGCCCCCCAGTCGGCGTCGCGCCCGGGCCGGTGCCAAAGATGCCCCGGCACGGCGATTGGATGCGTGATCGTCGATGAGGAGCGGCCCGCTCTGAACGGAAGTAGCGCTAAGCCAAACATGGTTGATAATGCATGGGGTAGATGATCATTTGTTGTTCGGTAGTGTGGCTACGTGCTTACTGCGTGTGGCCAGCGGGCAGGTTTCCATCAATGTCATTTGAACGCATGTTTCTAGTGGCTAGCGCCAGTGCTCCCGGACCAAAATCGCAGGCAGGAAGAGCCCTGACCTCCAACACCTTGGACAACAATCGAGACGGACGTGTTTCACAGTTTTCGGCCTCGAAGGGTCGCCCCCAGGCTCCAGGACCGTCAGGTTGCCCCTCTCTCTTCCCGACCAAGATGCATCAGCCCATGATTTGTTTTAGACTTCGACCAGATCTTGTTGTGAAACATACAATGAATGCGTGGGTCACGGGGCTCTGGGATCGTGAAAACATATCGGCAAGGGGTCGAGAGTTCCAGAGCCATCAGTTTTCATCGGAGTACTGGCAGGAATGGTAAGAGTTCGGATTGAATCAAGATCTTCGTTTGTGCCAGCGGAGGGGGAGGGAGGGGGAGGAAGAGGATAAAGGGGAAGAGTGACAGGTGGAATTGGAGGAGGAGGAGGATCAGGAGCAGGAGGAGGAGCAGGAGGAGGGGGAGGGATTGGAGGAGGAGGAGAGGGAGGAGGAGGTGGAGGAGGAGGAGGAGGAGGAGGAGGAGGAGGAGGGAGTGGAGGAGGAGGAGGAGGAGGAGGAGGAGGATTGGGGAGGAGGAGGAGGGGAGGAGGAGAGGAGAAGGAAGAAAAAATAGAAGAGGAGGACGAAGAAGAAGATGAGGAAGAGGAGGAGGAGGAGGATTGGGAAGGAGAAGGTAGAGGAAGGAGGTGGAGGTGGAGGAGGAGGAGGAGGAGCAGGAGGAGGAGGAGGAGGACCCTTGGGGAGAAGGGCGGGCCTTTGGAGGGAGCCCCCCCCCGCAATCGCCTGGCAGTGGGCAAGTCCAGGTTACCCCGCGGGGCGCGAAGACTACAGTCAAAACCCCTAATAAGGACGCGCGACTTTGCTCCGGGTACCCTTGATGTTCCAACCGACTTTAGCCTTGACCACCAGGAAGCACCAATGTACCGAAACTGGAGGGTTTTCACGTGTCGGGCACTGGGAGGCGATATTTCTTCGACACTGTTTCGATATTTTTCTGGGTGCTCGAAGTTACTTCTGGGATGTACTGTCAAAAACCCGAACAAGGACGCGCGACTTTGCTCAGGGTACCCTCGCGTCCTTGCTCTTCCTTGCTCTTGCGTCCTTGAGGTTTCCGTCTTCCGCCGCCCCAAAAATCCCAACTTCGGCTTCCAAGGGTCTTGCGTCCTTGCCACGCGTCCTCAGTAGGGTTTTTGACTGTACCCCTCGAGGAAGAAAAAGCACCACAAACATAAACTGTTGGCGTTCCGCGCGGATCTCTAGGACCGGCGCATGGGCTCCCCCGGCGGCCTCGGAGGTGCCGCCCCACTGAGGTCCAGCGCAGATCCAAGAAATCCAAGCGGAGCGCCAAAAGTTTACGTTCATGCCGTTCGTGTTCTCTGTGTCCAACCACGCTCATGTCCTCCGATTCGCTTCGGTTCGATGTCGATGGCCCCCGATTCCGACTCGACCTGGGCTTCTGATTCGTGTTCCGATTCGGATTCCGATTTCTCGATGGAGGCCCACTGGCCTGCCGATGTCTGCCGACCCGAGGCCCTGCTCGCCCGAGACGTCCTCGGAGAACGACCCGAGTCCCAGGTGGAACCGCATGCAAGCCCTGCCACTGGGGCCCTCGGTGGAGCTCCATATGAGGCCACGAAGCGTGTGAGGGGTGTGCCGAAATTGGGGGTGGGACCGCATGCGAACCCTGCCACTGGGCCTTCGGGCCTTCGGTGGAGCTCCCTATGAGGCCACGGGGTGTGCCGAAACTGAGGTGGAACCCCACGCGAACCATGCCATTGGGGCCCATATGGGGCCAGGAAACGCGTGACGGGTGTGCATGAATGGGGGGTTGAACCGCATGCGAACCATGCCATTGGGGCCTTCAGAGGAGCTCCCTCTGGGGGATGGAAGAACCGCATGCGAATTGGAGATGGAAGAACCGCATGGCTCCATATTAGGCCAGGAAACATGTGAGGGGTTCAAGGGATGGGAGGAGCGGAAGGATGGGGAGGAGGAGGGGGAGGAGGAAGGAGGGAGTGAGTGGCGCGGGGCGCTGTCTCTTCAAAACAAGTGCCCAACACCATAGGATGGTTGGGAAAAAGGCTCCAGCTCCGATCCGAGGCATCCGCGCGGACCTCCGAGCTTTTAGGTTTATGTCATTGTTTTTTCCCCTACTCTGGGAATGTGGCACGCTCATCCTGCTCCGCATTTCGATGCTTCCGGCACGATTCAATTCGATTTCAATGGCTTCCAGTTCCGCTTCGATTCGGCTTCGGGTTCCGATCTAGATTCCGGCTTCTCATTGGAGGCCTAGTTGCCCGCCGATGTTTGCCGATCCGACGTGTCTCCTGATTCGGTTGCCGATTTCTGCCGATTGATTCATTTCGATCGCCGATCCGACTTACCGATTCGATTCTGGGCTCTCCTACAGTGGGGGCACATGCCAAGAAACACCCTGCTTGCCTTCAGGGTGCCCTGGGTTTCTTGGATTTCGATGTTTTCGCCATGGAAAGCGTGACGTTCCCACGCCAAAAATCTGTGGACGTCATCTGATCTCAGGGTTGGGTTTCTCGTAGAAGGTTTCTTGTGGTCGAGCACCTACTGTACCTTCTCATCCATCTTTCCGGCGCCCTGGATTTCCTCGCCCGTGGCCATGTTGGCTCGAGTTGGCCTGGCTAGGCCGCGCCCACTCGGGGTGCCATGTACGTGGCGGCGTGATCATGCACGCGCATGCGTGCTATGAGGTCTGAGCCAGGAGACGGATACGTGGCAGCCCCCGATGGCAATTCGCAATCACCAGGTGTGCTGGGCGGCAGACGTGGACTTGCGATCAACGTCGTCTTGGTTTTGTTTTTCAGCATCAGCGCCCACGCCTCGAAGAACGCCCTGGCGCCGGCGCAGCCCAAGCTGGAGAGGATGGGCCTCGGCCCCGTCGCGTACGCGATCGTGTCCGCGACGCCCATGCTGGGCGGCATAGTGCTGCCCACGGCCTGGGGCTCGGCGTACTTGGACCACGAGAGGTTGGTGCTGGTCGCCGTGCCGCTCGGCGAGCTCCTGGGGTTGGTGCTCGTCACCGCAGGCTTCTGGCTGCTGGAGGTTCCGTGGGCGGCCCGCTGGTGGGCCGAGGCCCTCATCGCCGGGGGGCTGCTCGCTTTCAGCGCCTTCCACGGCGGCGCCTACGTCGTGCAGTGCACGGCGCTCCAGCGGGTGCTGCCCTTCGGGGAGACCACGGGCTTCGTCGCCACGATCGGCTTCACCAAGTGCACCGTGGCCGCGTGCAACTTCTTCGTGCCGCCGATCCTGCTGGAGCACGGCGTCCTCGGGGTGCAGCTCGCCCTGCTGGTCCCGGGCCTGATGTCCGTGGTCGCGGGCTGTTGGTTGGCCTGCCGCGCGGACAGGTTCCCGGTGAAGCACGCGCGTTCGGTCAGGGTCTTGGACCAGGACTCGATCATCTCCGAGGAGCAGGGCCCTCAGGGCGGTTGCTTCACGAACGTGTCGAGGAGGCTCTTCGACGCCTCCAGGGGCACCGGGGTCATCCTGCTGCTGAGCTTCTGGAGGGCCATCATCATGGGGGCCCTGCACTCCTTCGCCACGATTCAGAACGGGTTGGTCTCGAGTTACGGCTTGTCCAGCGAACAGGCCGGGGTGTTGGTGGGCACCTGCCAAACAATCGCCCTTTGCTCCCTGGTCGTGCTCAGCGTCGTCGCTGACTGCGCCGGGAGGCGGGTCCTGATCGTCGTCATGTCGTGCATCGTCGCCGCTGGTGGCATCGTTCTCGCGATGGGCCCAGGCGTGCCCTGGTGGGCATGGCAGGGGTCGCTGGTGTCGGTGGCGCTCGCCTCGCTGGTGATCCCCGTCGTGGCCCTGTCGCTCGTGAAGAGGAACAGCCTTCGAGGCTTGGGCTTTTCGTTTGGTGTGCTCGAGTCCGTGTTCAGCTTGGCGCAGGTGTTCTTCACGCTCGTCATCGGATGCCTCAGGAAGTGGGGCAATGGAGATTATCGAAGGCGCCTACGCTGGGCCACCGCCGCCCCCTGCCTCTTCTCAGCGCCTGTCCGGATGGCCAAACGTTGTGCCGAAGTTTGGCCGAGCTATTGGACGACGTGGGGGAACACTTGGGGGAGGAAGAGAGAGAGAGAGGAGGAGGAGGCCTCTTGGAGGCCTCTTAGGCCGATTCTGGGGCTTCCCTGGGGGTCTCTGAAGGGCATTCTGAGGACCCTAGGGCCTCTTGGGGACTGTTGGGGGCCTTTGGGCCGTTCCCTGGCTCTATTCGCGCGTCTAACTCAGTCGGTGGCCTTACTGGGGGGCTCTCTGGGCCCTCTTGGGGCGCTTTAGGGCCGTCTTGAAGGTCTCTTGAGCCGTCTTGGGGCCATCTTGGGGGCCTTGTGTCCTGGCGCCCTCTTGAGGGCTTCTTGCGCTGTCTTGAAGCTATCGTGGAGGCATGTCGAGCCGTCCTCGGCTGTCGGGATCCCGAAAAGTCAAGAACGTGAGAATACCTCAACATCCCAAGGAACAGATATAGCCAGCGTGGACCCCGAGCAGTCAGTGCACTGCGCATGCGTCAACTGTCTGGTGCAAGCTATGCGGTGTAAGGTATTTGGTGCAAGCCATGTGGCCTAAGCCATGTGGTGCAAGCTGTGCTCAGGCGCGGAAGAAGGACATACACGTACATGAATCCACGCTGGTTTCGAGAGGAGTACGCATTGCTTGCATGTGCGTTTCACGCGGCCAGTATCGCAGGTCGAGGGGCCGTGTTCATGCACGCAGCTGGGCGCGTACGTCCTTTTTGCGGGCCCCTCATGTGTGGTGCACACTACATTCAAAAACCCTAATAAGGACGCGCGACTTTGCTCCGGGTTCCCTTGCGTCCTTGCCCTTCCTTGCTCTTCCTTGCTCTTGCGTCCTTGGGGTGTTCGTCGTCCGCCGCCCCAAGAATCCCGACTTCGGCTTCCAAGGGTCTTGCGTCCTTACCGCGCGTCCTTATTAGGGTTTTTGACTGCACGTGGTGCAAGCCGTGCGGTCGGGCGGCAGCGAGAGGGGGGTAGCGGGTGACGGCGCGGCGAACCCCTCGGCATGCCCCCCCCCTTTCCTGGGCGGCAACGGGCGGCGGCGTGGCGAATCCCTCGACGGGAGGACTCCAGACGTGAGCCAGGAGGGGGAAAACAAAAAAAAAACACGGACACAATGGACCGTCGACTCCCCAGAACATACGGGAAAGTATGGGAAGTGGGGGGAAAGACAAAAGCCCAGAAAATATTGAAAAGATCGGGAATCGTGTTGTTTGTGCGTATTTATTTGTGTGCCCCAGGGCCCCTTCAATGAGTTCGTTGTCACCGCCTGGGTTCCTCTTGGGGTCGTATCGAGGGCCTGCTGGGCTCGCCTTAGGGGCCTCCCGGGCCGTCTCCCGCCTGACTCACTGGAAGGCGGCCCCCGCTTGGAACAACATCCCCAAATTCCGCCACCTCTCTCCAATCACTCGGCTGGCGCGAGCGCCCTCCACACTTTGCCTCCCTCTGCTTCTGCCTCCCTCACTCTTCGCTGCCCCTTCTCTCTTTCTCGCCTCTTCTTGGGCTCCCCCCTTCTGAAGTCCCACATCTCTCCTTCACTCCTTCATCCCGCGCCCCGCTTCCCGCCTAACTGAATGGAAGGCGGCCCCCACTCCCGAAATTCCTTGATTTCCAAGTTGCCCCTCCCTCCATCTACTCGGCTGACACTGCTCCGCTCCTCCCCCGCTCTTCGTTACCCGTTCTCTGTTTTTTTGTTTTCCTCTCTCTCTCTCTGTCATTTTCTGGGGAGTCTCTCTCCCGTTCCACATTTCTCTCCTTCATTATTTCCTTCCTAGCCTCGCTTTCCGCCTAATTGAATGGAAGGCGGCCGCCATTGAAACACACAAATGTTCCAAAGTTCTTGATTGTTTCAAGTTGCCCCCGCTTTCCATTCAGTCCGGCGCCTGGCACAGGCGCAGGAGCCTCTTCAGCGTCTCTTGAGGGTCTCAGACAGCTCCGGAACGCTCCCAAAGCGCCCAGCCAGACCGCAGGAGGGAGACACAGGAGGAGGATGAGGAGATTGTGAACGATTGATGCTGTCTTATCGCGGCAAGCATTGTCCTGGACTGATCTAGAACGCGAACGCAGACGAAGCGCGCGTGACCGCTCTAGGATATATATATATATATATATATATATATATATATATAGGTGCATATATACATATATATATATATATATATATATATATATATAAGTGAATAAGTGTTTGCTTGCATCTATATGCATCTACACACATATATACATATATATATGTGTATATACATATCCTGGGATACTGGGTCGGCGGCTCCAGCCGCGTGCCTCGATTCTCAATGGGGACCCCGGGCCTCCGGGACCTCTCCCCAACGGCCCCAGAGGTGTCCCGGGCGGCCCTCAGATTGGCCAAGAGAGCCCCCAGAGGCCACCAAGACGATCGACGACCGCCCCGATAGCTCCAGCCGCGTGCCTCGATTCTCCATGGGGACTCCGGGCCTCCGGGACCTCTCCCCAACGGCCCCAGAAGTGTCCCAGGCGGCCCTCAGATTGGCCAAGAGAGCCCCCAGAGGCCACCAAGACGATCGACGACCGCCCCGATTCGCTGACAGAGGCGCTCAACAAGCACCAGATGGTCTCCTGGCGGCCCAAAACGCATCCAAGACGCCGCAAGATACCTCCAAGAGCACTCCCACAAGAGTCCCAAGAACCAAAGATCATGGATGTTGTTTCTGTCTTGTTGGAGAATTGTGCATCTCTGCCTTGCTGGCTGCCTTCCTCGCGCGCTCCCCAGAAGGTGCTAATGCAGCTCCTTGGGGGCCCCAGGACGGCCCCCGAAGCGCCCCTGCGGTGTCCCAGACGGCCAAGACGGGCCAAGAGAGCCCCCATGGCCCCCGACATACTCCGGGACCCAAGTGCTAACGGAGGTGCTCAACACGCCCCAGCCGGCTTCCCCACGGCCCGAATAAGCCGTCAACAATCCAAGATGCATCCAAGAGGACTCCCCACGACGGTCCGCGGCCAAGGACGGCTCCCTGAGGGCTCCAACGGCAGTCCAAAGTAAGTCCTACGCGAGTGCGCTCGCGTGACGATGATGACTGAGATGGTGATGATGACGGCGAAGATGGTGATGACAGCGAGGATGGCAAGGGTACACTGACGAGTATGGTGTTGATGACGATGCCGATGCCCAGTACTACGAAGCTGACGCAGATCATGATGCTGATGGTGCAGAGGGTGCGGGTGAGGGTGAGGTTGAGGGTGAGCGTGAAGGTGATGGTGATGGTGACGGTGATGGTGATCATCATGCTGATGCTAATGCTGATGATGGTGGTGGCGATGGTGACGATGGTGATGATGATGATGATTGCGATGGTCTGACTGGCGTCGGTTACGTTGGCGTTGACGATCAAGACCTTGACAGTGGCAATGATTATGACTCCTTTTGCCCTTCGATTCGGCGGTCGCACGTGCATGTGGACCTCCCCCCCTTGGCATACGCTAAAACTTGAACACGCAGCGAAACGCGCGCGATGGTTATAGTACTTTGCGTTTTTTCCTTGAAACAAGTTTATACCTATAGCTATATATCTAGATACACACATCAACCTCTGTCGGCATATGTATGGATGTCACTGTCTGCCGATATCTTTATCAACCTCACGATCGGTCTCCTCTATCAATCCCAATCGACCCGAGTGTCCCTCAATCGATCCTTCTATCATCTGTCGATCGCATTATCTATCCGTCGGGGCAATCATGAGGACAACCAGGTCATTGTTGTACTGCATTTGGGCCTCAATCTCGAGGCGCCGAAGACGCCCAGCGCATCTTTTTCGATCGGAATCCATCGGGACGACCGTCGGGACAACCATCGGGACACCCACGGGACAACCACAGGACAATCGCGAGACAACCGCGGGCATTTGCTCCGACTTCGCCCCAGCAACGGCGGGATCTTTTTTCTCACCCGCACGCAGCTTCGCGTCACCCGCACGCACGGCACGAACACGGACCCGAAACCGAATTCCCGGTGGGGGGTCCCGTTTCACGTCGATCTCGCCCCCCAATTTTCGAGTCAATATTGATGTTTCAATATTCACAGGCCGTGAGGATACTCAGTTCGTGCTTCCAGGCACGGTGGCGGATAGAGCGGCGATGGTTTTCAATGCTTTCTGTTTGTGTGTTGGTGCTGCAACTTCGTTGGTGGTGGCACGCAAGGTGAAGGACCTGGACACTAGCCCAATGAAAGGCGGATGGTCCAGAGTGCAGTTGATAAGCAGGCCGACGCTGCGGTCGCTGTTTGCCTAGTGTGCTCTTGAGCTGGGCAAGACTGATTTCACGGGGTTTTGATGTGTGGAGTTCGTCTTTCGGCCTGCTGCGGAGCACGCCCGACGTGGGACAAGGACTTGGGCCCTGCTTGTCGCGATGCAGGCTATTCCGGCGTTGTGTTGCAAGCCGCTCGTGCCGAGAAGTATGTCCTTGTGGTTAGTTTATGAAGTGTGCTGAAGTTATCGTTGTCGGAAAATACGCATGAAATCAAGCCTGGGCACGGCCTGTTCAGGATAGGCATCGCTCGTGCGGGTATTTGGGGCGCGCTATCGTGGCAGGAGAAGTGCCACTCGCCTTTTCGGCCACCTGTCTGTCTCCAGCTACGCCCCGACGGGCCCGGAATGTGCACAGGATGTGTAGTCTCCGCCAGCTGCGGGCTGCACTTTGGCCTTTATGCCTCTGGAGGTTGTGCAGGCTCTATGTGCTGGCCGTCGCGCGCCGCCCAGCGCGCTCTCGAGAAACGACTCGGTTGGAAAATAAACAACTGGGGCTGAGCTCGCCGAGGGGACTGAGCGTTGCCCCCACACCTGCCAGCAACCCGGCCGCACGCGGAAGGGGGGTAAGGCGAAGGGGGGAAGGCTTCCCAGAAGGCGCAGGCCTTTTGTCTGCAGATGTGAGGCCCGCGCCTTCTGAGAAGCAGCCTCCTTCTCAGAAGCCTTCCCCCCTCCCCCATTACCCCCCCTCTGTGCACCGCCGATCACTGCCGAGGACGCTGCAGCCGAGCAGCGTGCCGCCCAGCGAAGGCCACACAGCCCCGCTCATCAGCACCGCCGCTCGCCGAAGGAGTCGCTCTGTTGGCCCCTGCGCGTAAGCACGGCAGGCTCGTGCAGTTCCGAGGCGGCAGCGACCCCGCTGCGGCCGTTCAAGGTTAAGCGCCGCCAGTTGTCTAGGATCGGCCAATCTTGAATTGTCGTTCCCAAACATTCAGGAGCGAAAGAAGGACGTACACGCACATAAACCCACGCTGGTTTTCGAGAGTGCGCAATGCGCGAACGTTCGTGTCACGCCGCTGGTCTCGCGGACTGGGTGATTGTGGTCATGTACGTGAGTGGGCGCGTACGTCTTTCGCGGGCTCCCTAAACATTCGACGATGCGAGGCCCCAGAGTTCCCGACCGATTCTCGAGTGCAAAGTTTAGCCTCAGGCCAGTTTTTTATCGTCCTGAGGCCCGCAATTGTCGCCGCAGGCCGAAGCGCACAAAAAACAGACCTGGATCGAAATAGCACCCTTGCTGCAGAAAACCCTGAACAGCTTTAAGATCAGATGAGGAAAAAGGTACCCGAAAGAGCGCGTCCTGTGGTCGCTTGGAAGGGGGGGGATGGAAACGGACCCCCCCTCATCTATTTCTCCTCCCTCCCTCTCCTCGGCTGGCGGCGGCGGCGGGGACGACAATTCCCTTTTCTGGGCCGGCGGCGGCGCCTGTGGCGGCGGGCGGCGGCGGCGGGGAACGTCGACGAGGACGGCGGTGGTGGTGGTGGTGGGTTGTGGTGGTGATAGCGATGGTGGTGGTGGCGGTGGTGGTGGTGTGGTGGTGGTGTGGTGGTGGTTTGCGGTGGTGGCAGTGGTGGTGGTGGGTTGTGGTCGTAGCGGTGGTGGTTTGGTGGTGGTGTGGTGGTGGGTTGTGGTGGTGGCGGTGGTTTGTGGAGGTGGTGGGGGTGGGGGTGGGGGTGGGGGTGATAGTGGTGGTGTGGTGGTGGTGGTGGGTTGTGCTGCTGGTAGTGGTGGTGGTTGTGGCGGTAGTGGTGGTGGCGTGGAGGATCGTGGTGGTGGTGGTAGTGGTGGTGGGTTTTTGTGGTGGTGGTTGTGGTGGTGATGGTGCGTTGTGGTGGTGGTGGTTGTGGTGGTGGTGGTGGCAGTGGTGGTGGTGGTTGTTGTGTGGTGGGTTGGTGGTGGTGGTGGGTTGAGGCGGTGGTGGTGGCGGTGGTAATGGTGGTGATCGTCGCTGCCGGCCGCCGCCAGCGCCGGCGCTGGCGCCAAGGCGGGGGGAGGGTTGAACCCCCCCCCGGCGCCAGGGGGGGTTTGAACCCCCCCCCTCCGTCCCCCCCCTGCCTCTGGTCATCGTCGCTGCGTCCCCGCCGTCGGCGCTGCTGGCGGCCGCTGGCGCAGCAGGCGCTGGGGGGGGGTTTCAAACCTGGCCCCCTTCTTGGGAGGAGGGGGGTCCGTGGTGAGTCAGGATCCGGTACCATTTGACAACATGAGGCCAACATGGTTCCATCGGTGGGTGGGTGTGTGTGGTGTGTTGTGTGCGTGTGCGTGGTCGTGTGGCGTGTGCTTGTTGCGTTGTGCGTGTGCGTGTGACGTGTGCGTGTTTGTGTCGTGTGCGTGTGCGTGTGCGTGTGCGTGTGCGTGTGTGTGTCGTGTGCGTAGTGCGTGTGCGTGTGCTGTGCGTGTGCGATGTGCGTTTGTGCTTGGTGCGTGTGCTGTGCGTGTGCGTGTGCGCGCGTGCGCGCGTGCGCGCGTGCGCGCGTGAGCGGCGTGCGCGCGTGCTCGCGTGCGCGCGTGCGCGCGTGCGCGTGTGCGCGCGTGCGCGTGTGCGCGCGTGTGCGCGTGTGCGCGTGTGCGCGTGTGCGCGCGTGCGCGTGTGCGCGTGTGCGCGTGTGCGCGTGTGCGCGTGTGCGCGTGTGCGCGTGTGCGCTTGTGCGCGTGTGCGCGTGTGCGCGTGTGCGCGTGTGCGCGTGTGCGCGTGTGCGCGTGTGCGCGCGCGCGCGTGTGCGCGTGTGCGCGTGTGCGCGTGTGCGCGTGTGCGCGTGTGCGCGTGTGCGCGTGTGCGCGTGTGCGCGTGTGCGCGTGTGCGCGTGTGCGCGGGTGCGCGTGTGCGCGTGTGCGCGTGTGCGCGTGTGCGCGTGTGCGCGTGTGCGCGTGTACGCGTGTACGCGTGTGCGCGTGTGCGCGTGTGCGCGTGTGCGCGTGTGCGCGTGTGCGCGTGTGTGCGTGTGTGCGTGGGTGCGTGTGTGCGTGTGTGCGTGTGTGCGTGTGTGCGTGTGTGCGTGTGTGCGTGTGTGCGTGTGTGCGTGTGTGCGTGTGTGCGTGTGTGCGTGTGTGCGTGTGTGCGTGTGTGCGTGTGTGCGTGTGTGCGTGTGTGCGTGTGTGCGTGCGTGCGTGTGTGCGTGTGTGCGTGTGTGCGTGTGTGCTTGTGTGCGTGTGTGCGTGTGTGCGTCTGTGCGTCTGTGCGTCTGTGCGGTGTGGTGCGTGTGTGCGTGTGTGCGTGGTGTGCGTGTGTGCGTGTGTACGGTAGGTGTGGCGTGTGTGCGTGTGTGCCGTGTGTGCGTGTGTGCGTGTGTGCGTGTGTGCGGTTGTCGTGTGTGCGTGTTGTGCGTGTGTGCGTGTGTGCGTGGTGGGTGCGTGTGTGCGGGTGTGCGTGTGTGGTCTCTGTAGCTGTGTGCCGTTGTGTCGTGTCTCTGTGTGTTGCTTGTGTGCGTGTGTGTGCGTGTGTGCGTGTGTGCGTGGGGTGCGCGTGTGTGTGTGTGGGCGTCGGTGCGTGCGGTGGGTGCGATGCGTGCGGTGCAGGTGGGTGCGTGCGTGCGTGCGTGCGTGCGTGCGTGTGTGTGTGTGTGTGTGTGTTTGTGTGCGTGTGTGTGCGTGCGTGCGTGCGTGCGTGCGTGCGTGCGTGTGTGTGTGTATGTGTGTGTGCGTGTGTGTGTGCGTTGTGAGTGTGTCTGTCTGTATGTCTGTCTGTCTGTCTGTCCCTCTGTCTGTCTGTCTGTCTGCCTGTCTGTCTGTCTGTCTGTCTGTCTGTCTGTCTGTCTGTCTGTCTGTCTGTCTGCCTGTCTGTCTGTCTGTCTATGAGTGTGTCTGTGTCTCCAAAAAGCCGCTAACCTTGAGGCTCGAGGTTTGAACCTCGACGTGGTCACGATGGCAGGGGGCTCCAGGGGCCCTGGAGGGCTCCAGAAGCCCTTCCGAGGGGGGGGGGACCGTAACCAAATTTGGTTGCGATGGCAGGGGGCTCCAGGGGCCCTGGAGGGCTCCTGGGGCCCTTTCCAGCAGGGTGAGACCGTGACCACATTTGGTTACGATGGCAGGAGGTTCCAGGGGCTCTGGAGGGCTCGAGGGCCCCTTCCGAGGGGGTGGACCGTAACCAAATTTGGTTACGATGGCATGGGGGCTCCAGGGGCCCTGGAAGACTCCAGGAGCCCTTCCCAGGGGGGGGACCGTAACCAAATTTGGTTACGATGGCAGGGGGCTCCAGGGGCACTGGACGGCTCAGGGCGGCGCTCCGGAGGGAGGTGGGGACCGTAACCAATTTTATTACGTATCAATGGGCTACAGGCGCCATGGAGGGCTTCAGGAACACTCCAGGGGATGGATGGGAGTCCGTAACCAAATTTGCTTACGATAGGCGGAACTCCAGAAAGGCATCTGGTGGGTTCCAGGGGCCCTTTTCACGGGGGTGGGACCGTAACCAAATTTGGTTACGATGGCAGGGGCTCCAGGGGCCCTTTCCAGCAGAGGGAGACCGTAACCAAATTTGGTTACGATGGCAGGAGGCTCCAGGGAGGCCTTGGAAGGCTCCAGGGGCCTTTCCAAGGGGAGGGGCGTAACCAAATTTGGTTACGCTGGCAGGGGGCTCCAGGGTCCCTGTAGGGCTCCAGGGGCCCTTTCCGGGGGGGACCGTAACCAAATGTGGTTACGATGGCAGGTGGGTCCATGGGCTCTGGAGGGCTCCAGGGGCTCTTCCGAGGGGGGGGACCGTAACCAAATTTGGTTACGATGGCAGGGGGCTCCAGGGGCACCCCCCGGGAGCCTCGTCTTTGAATAAATTGCGAAGCAGTCTCAGGCGGGAGCCTCCTTCCTATGGGCCCCACACCTCATGTTATTAATCCTAGGGGGTCATCAAAATCTTGTAGCTGTCGTCACTTTCGGGTCCTTCAGGTTTGAATGTGGAGAAATCTGAGGCGGGAGCCTCCTCTGTGATTGAATTGCGAGAGACTCTCAGGCGGGAGCAACAAGAACCCACCACATCCTCCGCTCCCTCCTCCCCTTCCTTCTCCTCCCCCTCCTCTCACTTCCTCCTTCCCTCCTCCTCCTCTTTTTCTTTGCCTCACCGTACTCATCCTTGTCTTCGTCCTTATCTTCATCTCCCTCATCTGTTTCACCCTCTATATTCCTCCTCGCCTTCTCCAGGGGCCCTTTTCCAGCAGGGGGAGACTGTAACCAAATGTGGTTACGATGGCAGGGGGCTCCAGGGGCCCTGGGGGGGGGACCCTAACCAAATTTGGTTACGATGGCAAGGGGCTCCAGGGGAACTGGAGGGCTCCAGGGGCCCTTTCCGAGGGGGGAGGGACCGTAACCAATTTTGATTACGATATCAAGGGGCTCCAGGAGCCCTGGAGGGCTTCAGGGACACTTCCCCGGGGGAGGGGACCGTAAGCTTACGATGGCACAGAACTCCAGAGGCCCTGGTGGGTTCCAGGTGCCCTTTTCACGGGGGAGGGACCGTAACCAAATTTGGTTGCGATGGCAAAGGCTCCAGGGGCCCTTTCCAGCAGGGGGAAATC